TATTTATAAATAAATAAATTAATAAATATACATTCTATACTATTTATTTATTTTTTTAATTTAGAAACAAATAAATACATATATAAATACATAAATAAATACAAATATACTATTTATTTATGTATTTATTTATTTTATATGTATAAATAAATACACAAAAATTATTATGTAATATTTATTTATTTTATTTTATTTTATTTTATTTTATTTTATTTTATTTTATTTTATTTTATTTTATTTTATTTTATTTATTTTATTTTATTTTATTTTATTTTATTTTATTTTATTTTATTTTATTTTATTTTATTTTATTTTATTTTATTTTTTTACTCCAACATCTTACTTAAGCAGGAGGTATAACTTGAAAACCACACTTCATCAAGCAAAACAATGCAGATCTAAACAGTTCTTCTTACCTCATGCAAACCTTCATGTCACAATTCATGCCATTAACTACTGGCCTATTACTTGCCTGTTATTAAGTTATTAACTGTTTATTAGAGCTTGTAAAGTATGATCCTTTTCTGCATCATTAATCCTACCCAAAACCTAAACTCATCTTCTATCTTATAAGGATTAATAAACAGTTAATTAGTCGTTTATTAAGCTAGTAGTGTTAGTTACCGGTTTATTAATACCCTGAATTGTGATCTAAAATAAAGTGTTTAAGACCTCTAAACTTTTTTCTGTGCAGACGGACTCGAGCGTGACCATCACCTGCGCAGACAGAAAGTGGAATAAGCAGGTTTCCTGTGAGCCGGTCGACTGTGGGCTTCCAGATAAGTACCACGTTCACCCAGCAATCTTTGATTTCCCAGAAGGCACCACTTATGGAAAGAAGAGCACGTTTCAGTGTAAAGAGCCCGCGCAGCTTGTGGGTGAGAAACTGTATTAACTATCTACTCTTTTAACACTAGGATTACCTTTAGCTTTATTCCTTTAATTTCCCTGTAGGCCTGTTAAGAAATGCACTTTATGTTTTCTATGGAACCTATCCAAGATAAAGGGGATAATCTGCTTTTTGCAATAATTCATCCACAAAGTAATTTGTGAATTACAGCATAGCACAATAAGATGAAATTCAGTCTGTTTATTTATTTATTTATTTATTTATTTATTTATTTATTTATTTATTTATTTATTTATTTATTTATTTATTCATTCATTCATTCATTCATTCATTCATTCATTCATTCATTATTTATTTATTTATTTATTTATTTATTTATTTATTTGTTTATTTATTTATTCACTTATTTGTTTGTTTGTTTGTTTTATTTATTTATTAGTTCATTTACTTGTTTTATTTATTTATTTATTTATTCATTCATTCATTTATTATTTATGTTTAT